AAGGAGCACAGGTGTCGGACGCAGAAGACCTGGACTGCAGCTCTGATTTGCCGCGTAGTGGCTGTATGTTTTTGAACAAGTCAATCGAAGTCTCTCTTTTCTTTGTGGACATTATGGCCCTTCGTAAACATACCAAACTGTAAAGGGTACAAAAATACAATGGATGATTATTCTTGGCTCTGGCTTTGCCATTAAATAACCCTGGGATTGAGTTAAAGCCTCTTAACATCTCAGGCCTGCGGACTGACTGTTTTTACTTTGGCAGTTACCACTGAACCTATCAAGTCTTAGCTCATTAGCACAATCTAATCATTTTTGTCTAACTGACTTTGATTCAGTCAGCACACCTACTGAGTCCCTCGTATATGTCAAGTGTCATGCTAGGTTCTAGAGATAGGGCAGTAAGACAGACCAGCTGTGCTGCAACTTACAGTCTAACAGGGCACAGAGACATTGAATAAATACAAGTGCACCCCATGTTGTAAAGCAGGGTGCTCCAAGAGTGTATGTCAGGCAGGCCTGACCCCTTCCCAGTGGGCAGGAAGGAAGAGCAGAGAAGTCTGCCTAGAGCAGGGGTTCTCAAAGCATGGTCCTCAAACCAAGCATCAGCGCCACCTGGGAGCTTGTCAGAAATACAAATTCCCAGGCCCTTCCAAACCTGCTCACGCTGTGGAAGTGGGGCCCAGCAATCTGTTTTAACCAGTTCACTTGGTGATTCTGATGCACATTCAAGTTTGGGAACCACTGGCCTAGAGGAAATAACGTTTAAGCTAAGCTCTAAAGCTGTGCCGTTCAATAAGGTCACCACTGGTCCTATATGGCTATTGAGCCCTTGAAATGTGGCTAGTCCAAATGGAGATGTGCTTTAAGTATAAAATACACACCAGATTTCAAAGACTTACTATGAAAAAAATAATGTAACATACTTCATTAAGAATTTTATGTAGATCATATGTTGGAATGATAATATATTGAACCTATAGGGTTAAATAAAATATATTATTAAAATTAATTTCTCCTATTTCTTTTTTTCAATATACCTTGTAGAAAATTTAAAATTACACGTGGCTTGCATTATATTTTGATGGGGCGCAGCTGATCTAAAGGGTGACTAGAGGTTCTCTAAAGCAGGGTGGCACTGAAGCGGCGGGGGAGGGAAGGGGGTGATGTGCTAGGGTTCTCTGTGTACGGTATGTGCAGAGGTCTTGAGACAAGAACGACCGTGACATGCCCAAGGCAATAAAAGAAAACCAAAGCCTGCGGGTCACATTAAGCATTTTGAACTTTATCCTAAGATCAATAGGAAGTAATTGAGGGTTGTAAATAAGGTGCTCAGGTTTTACGAAGGTTGCAGCTAATAAATGAGGCAAGAGAACTACGGCTGAATAGAGCGAGACTTGCAGAATCAGAGCTCCCCCCTCCAAAAGATGGTGGGGGTGGAGGCGTTTGGTCAGGAAGTACCATTGAGAGGGAGGAGGACCCTGTCCCAGGATATGAGGCATGAACACCACCCACTAAAGAGAGCAGCAGACACCTGAGAGAGGTAGTTTTGCGTTCAGTTCATTTGCAGCTCCGTTAAAGCTCAGAGCTGGCGGAAGCATTCCAGGAAGAGTCCCAAGTTGAGTGGGAGTTTGATTACAGAGCTGGACTCTGCAGGGCACTGGCAAAGGGTTTGGTGAAGGAGGGTCAAGGACAAGGAAGCCCAGCACATTTAGTGATTAGAGGTCTGTACTTTGAAAGAGTGTGTTGGACAATAACATAGGAAAGCTGGGATTCGAGCCTGGAGGCTTGAGGTCGGACCATCTCCTGGGGGATGGTGGCCTCCCCATTCATCTGTGGCCTGGAGATTTCCCCTTAAGTCACAGGTCATACACTAGCAGACTCAGTCTAGCCTGCAGACATGTTTTGTTTAGCTCACATTTGAAAAATGAATTCAAATTAGTTGCCAGTATTTATATCAAATATCACATAAAAATGTGCATTTCCACTGTTTTTGAAAATTGGAAGGTTTAGGAAGCTCAGTTCCTCAGTCTCAGAGGGAAATGGGCTGGAGCTAAGAAATAGCTACTCCTTTTATTTTATACATGAACTTTTAAGAGCTGAAATGATCATTTTTATTTAAAAATAAAACATTTATTCACTCTAAAAACAAAACAGAATCCATAGGTTCTCTATGGTCTAAGTCATGCATTCTCTCCAGTCTTTGGTTCCAGCAATCCCACCTTCTCTTTGTTCTCCAGAAAAGTTCTAAGAATGGTACCTTTAGTTCAGTGAGACCAGGTTATACAAAAACTTCATCCATTTACACAAGAGTTGTCTTTCAGAGAAACGTGTATGTTCTCTGCAGTTCAACACTGTTCCCATCACCCCTGTAGCCCAGCGTCACTGCTCTTCACACACCTGTCTGGCCATCGGGACATGGGAGTTTGCAGCCCCTCCCTTAAACTTTAAATGAAACTGACTACAGTGTTGTGTGTTTGTTGGTAAACACTTGGTATACCAGCTCCCATGACGATTAAAATCTTAAAGATTGCAAATATTAAACCTCAACAGCTCCTTTGTAAATATTCAGCAGTTAATTAAATGGGAAAAGTCCATTGATGGCACCGAGAGGGCAGTGGCTTTTTGTCCACCTGAGACAGATGCACTCGTTTGGTACCTTATCCTGTGTTCACCCCTGTCCACCAGAGTGAGGGAGAGGTGTGTATCTGTATAGTTTTTGTGGCTGTAGTACTAGTCCTCTGCTTCAGTATACATACTTTGAGGTAAAAAAACAGAGAAATAGTTTTATTTTGTAAAGTAAGGAAATATAGCAGATTAAAATACTGCAAAGCTTGGTGGTAGGTGCCTGAGTGTTCATGTTATTGCTACATTTTTTTTGCTCCTTCCATATAGTTCATAATCAAAAGATGGTGGAGAAGTGCTCCTGCCTACGGCATTTGTCCATCACACCCGTCTTCATCTGAAGGGAAAATAGCTTCATTAGTGTGTGGAGGCTTCTTGCTTGACAAGACCAGCGAAGGGTTGAGGTAGAGGAACGGTTGATAGCTTCTCTTTTCTCCACCCCCTCCTCCACCACCACTAACAAAACAAAACAGTAAGTGGTTACGAGGGGGTGGATCCAGTTTTTCTTGGGCCTGAAGCTTCTACTACTTGGTGGATTGATGCTCTTTAAAGAAACAATATGAAAATATCTTTCTTTTGCATATTAAACACACACACACACACTCACACTCATTCGTCCATGTGAATTCGTTATTTGGTCTCTCCCAGCACCTGAGAAGTTCAGGTGAGGGCCCAGAGGCTTGAGCTTCTTTAGCTTCATAATTATCCTGCTCTGGGCTCTGGTAATCACCTAGCAAAACACTGCCCAGGTGCCTTTCATCCCACTCTCTGATCTGCCACCCCTATCCCACCCTGGGCTGAGGGTAGAGGCATTGCTCTCCCTCGGGAAGTTCTCAGCTCTCTAAGGCGCCTTCATGGGAGCCCTGAGCCCTGAGCCCTGGCTCTTCCAGTGACCTGAGGCTTTCCTGCTTCCCATGCACTAAAGCTTCAAACCTCATGCTCCACGAGAAAGAGAAATCATCAACCTGACTGCTGTAGCCTTGCAACTACTCACAAATCACCTCAGTCTGCTTCCTCCCTCAGGTCCTCTGCATTCTACCGAAATATGAAGCCTTATTTTAAAGACTTTTTTTCCCTTCAGAATCTCTAGGAATTACTAAAGAAAGAAAGAAACTAGATCTAGATTCCAATTATCTTTGTCAGTGATTGCTGTGTAACTGTGGGTGAATCGCAGTTTAAGTGGGCAGAGAGTCTCCAGGTAATGGACGTTGCCAAGAATAGCAGAAGTCCAGGCCCTGGTGTTCCTATAATCTTTACTCCCCAGTGGGGAAGACACTGGGGTGGAGGTGGAGAGCGCCGGGCTTGTGAACAGAGCAGCATTGGTCAGTGTCGATAGGTCTACTGCAGGAGAGGGAAGGTAGGCTGATGCAGCCCAGGCAGCAGATTCTCCAGGGGACAGAGTGGGCCCAGCAGATCTTGGGGCCAGTGCCTTAACCTAGGGAGTTCAGAAACCCTTTAGTGTTGCCTGTCCCACTTTACTAGATTCTTCTCCCACTGAGATGTGGCTGGTGAGTGTGGGAGAGCTGAAGGCTGGGAGGAGGAGACACTTGTCAGTGTGCTTCCTCTTGCTCCTAGCTCCTGCAGACCTGCTCCTGTTAATCTGTTTCTGCAGGCAGCATCTCTCAGCTGCTTGCATTTGATAGCTTGTTTTGCATCTAGATTTATTCCTCCCAAAAGTTCTATCTTGAGGCAGATGAGAGATTATTTAGGTGAGTACCATAATTGGTGTTCATGTCTCTTTAAATCACTTTTAATGTTGTTTGAATGTTGGACCTTAGATTTGCTTGTATGTGGTGTAGCCTGTGGCATTGAAGAGCCGATTGCCACCAGTCGATGATTTACATATTAGATATATGTCGTGGTTCATTGAATTCACATGTTTAATAACTTCTATAAGAAGGTGAGACTGGTAAATATTTCCGTTTCCACCAGAGGAAAAACAAAGTGAGGAGGATGCCTTCAATCTAGAGGCAGCTGCAAGGAGCTGGGAGTTCCTAGCTTCTCATCATCCTTTTAGATATCTACCACTCATTCTATTAAATCCTCACTTCTGTAAGCATAAACTGCCTTTTTACCTGGTGGAAATGCAGCATGCCATTAGAATGAAGTGTTCTGTTATTTTTACGTCATAAAATTAAGATATGATCCAGCCATCAGGAAATGTAAGTCAGCTAGGTTCCCTGTAATTAATTATCTGCAGAATATGCCTGTATGTGCTGTAGTATATGAGTTGCTGGATGTCTGATGTCAAAGCAGTTCAAAGGAATTATTCCAGTTTATTTTAGAAAATGGCTGTTGTAAAGTTGTGTTTCCATTCCCAAGTAGTCAGGTGAATGAAGAATGTAACTTGTACTTTTTGTTTCTTCTCTTTCTAGATGTACTGCTGTCACTAAACATTGGCCCATTTGAAAGCGCTAGGGAAGCTCAGCCATCAGTATGTCCAAGTACAAACTGATTATGTTAAGACATGGAGAGGGTGCTTGGAATAAAGAGAATCGTTTTTGTAGCTGGGTGGACCAGAAACTTAACAGTGAAGGACTGCAGGAAGCTCGGAACTGTGGGAAGCAACTCAAAGCTTTAAACTTTGAGTGTGATCTTGTATTCACATCCATCCTTAATCGGTCCATCCACACAGCCTGGCTAATCCTAGAAGAGCTGGGGCAGGAGTGGGTTCCCGTGGAAAGTTCCTGGCGTCTCAATGAGCGTCACTATGGAGGCTTGATCGGTCTAAACAGGGAGCAAATGGCTTTGAATCACGGTGAAGAACAAGTGAGGCTCTGGAGAAGAAGTTATAATGTGACCCCGCCACCCATTGAAGAGTCGCATCCTTACTACCATGAAATCTACAATAACCGGAGGTATAAAGTGTGCGATGTACCTGTGGATCAGCTGCCACGATCTGAAAGCTTAAAGGATGTTTTGGAGAGACTCCTTCCCTTTTGGAATGAAAGGATTGCTCCTGAAGTATTAAAAGGCAAAAACATTCTGATATCTGCTCATGGGAATAGCTGTAGGGCACTCCTGAAACATCTGGAAGGTACCATCTTTATGCTACTACTAATTAGAAGTTGCTAAGTGTTATAGTTGGGCCTTAATCTAGAAAACACATGGTTTCTAAGCTAACAATGCACAATTTACGTAATAGACTTTTCTTCTCTATTCCCTTTTGTCACTTCAGTCTTTTAAGAATCATTTTGTTCTATAAATCAAAAATCCTGGGCCTTTTACATTCATATCATCTGAAACAGATTCTCGGACTTGAGCAAGCCTCAGAATCACCTGGAGGGAGAGCTTGGTTGACCACAGATTGCTGGCCCTGGCCTTGGGTTTTCTGAATCAGTAGGCCTGGGGTTGGGCCTGAGAATTTGCAATGCTAAGAAGTTTTCAGGTGATGCTGTTACTGCTACTTGGGGTTCTCCCCTTTGAGAACCACTGATCTAAAGGATGGTGTGGCTTTTGTTGGAGTGAAGTGAAAGGAGGCTAAGGAAGGAAGAAATTTCTGTAGAAATGGTATTCAAAGTAAATTTATTTGAGTCTTTCAAGATAAATAAAAATATCTAGACTTCAGTTTTGCTTACATTCTCCCAACTTGAAACAATTATTGCTGTGTTTTCAGACCTAAGTTTCCTGAATAATTCTTTTGTTCCAGTCCTCTCTTTCCAGACCATGCTTAGTCATTGATTGGGAGAAAGGGGAAGGAAAATAAAAGGATGGCTTACTGGAAATAATCAGTAGCCTCAATTTTATTTTAACTGCTTGATGTTGTGTTCTAGCTGTATTCCAAAATGTACTGTATTGTTACCTTCCTCTTAAGTAACATGAACTAAATGAACTCTTTTGAGGACTGGAGCTCACCAGTTTTGGGCATCAGTGATTGCACTGTGACACCTTCTGGGGATTTCTCGTTCCCTTTTCTCTTTTCACTGAATAATCCCAAACGGTTGTGCTTTTTGAGTGACCTGCTCCGTCTGGTGTTTTCCTGTCTATGATCACTGTCAGCAGTTAGCTTTCTGGTATTAGAATGCATTTCTCCAAGATTCCTCTTCCATTCTGCTTTGCTTTTCTACCTGAGGCTGTGAAAAGTGAAAAGGTTGACACTGTAACTGAAAATAGGTTATTGGTAACAACAAAATGAAGTGATCTCTATGAGATTTTATTGTAAACTTTTTAGCATGTGTGTTTTTACCCCTAATTTTTATAACATAGCCAAGAGCCAAATCATTACTCATATACCTGCATCTATTAGTTGTGCAGAGATTGGAAATCTACTGACTTTATTAAAAATTTTATTGACTAGAGAGGGCGCTCAATCTGTTTGTGTGTGTGTGTGTTATTTACTCAACTACATAAAAAGTTCTTTCTTGTTCAGAATAGTCAGATATTTGATTAAATGGTACATAACTTCATCGTTATTAGACTGTAGTACTTTATTGTTTGCAGAAGAGTTGAGGGTCCTCTTAGGACAATAACTAAGTGAAATTCAGAGTTTCCAAGATTCTGCCAGAAGATGTGTTCTACCTCACCATGCCAATTCCTTTCTCCAGAGATGGGACTTAGACCTCTTTGTGGCCAGGCTCCCTTCCCTAAAGAAAATGCCATCGTGTCCTTCAGGATCCTCTTTTCTTCCCCATCTCAGCTAGGAAATCCTCCTTTTAAAGACAATTTCCTGCTGTTTAGTACCATTTACTCGTCACCTATCCTCAGTTTAGATCTCTTTAAGATTACTCTGCATCCCCAACCACAGCTCATTCTAGATACCCCCTCCTATTAGTGCATTGATGATTTAACTATTTGTTATTTATGTATTTTTTAAGGAAATAGGAAAGTTTAACAAATGGTAAAGAAGATTGCCACCATGGTGATGACAGAGGGAGAATTACCTGTGGAGGGCGAGGTTGCATATAGAAAAGCTTACTTTTTATGTTTGAGGGAGGTTTTGAACCACTAATTTATTGAAAAACAGTCAAATGGTATAGCTGCTTTGGAAAACAACCTGGCAGTTCCTCGATGGGTTAAACGTAGAGTTACCATATGATCCAGCAATTCCACTCCGGAGGTGTATACCTGTGTTAGTTTCCTAGTGCTGTTGTAACAAAGTACCGAAAACTGGATGACTTAAAACAATAGATACTAAATTTCTCACAGTTCTGGGGGCTAGAAATCTTTAATCATGGTGTTGGCAGGGTCATGCTCTCTCTAGCAGCTTTAGGAGAGAATCCTTTCTTGCCTTGTCTAGCTTGTGGTGTTTGTTGGAAATATTTGGCGTTCCTTGGTTTTTACATGCATCACTGCAAGCTTCCATCTTCACTTGGTGTTCTCTCTGTCTGTATCTCTGTTTCTTGTCCAAATTTCCCCTTTTTATAAGGATGCCAATAGTATTGGATTAGGGCCTACCCCAATGACCTCATTTTAACTTGGTCACCTCTATGAAGACCTTATTTCAAAATAAGGTCACATTCTGAGGTACTGGATGTTAGGACTTCAACGTATCCTTTTGTGGGGGAACACAGTTCAACCCATGACAAAATACCTAAGACAAGTGAAAACATATGTACACAAAAACTTGTACACAAACCTTCATAGCATTATTATTCATAATAGCCAAATGTGGAAGCAACCCAAATGCCCATCAACTGATAAATGGATAAGTTAAATGTGGTATATCCATACAGTGGAATATTATTCAGCAATAAAAAGAAATGAAGTACTGATACATGCTACAACATGGATGAACCTTGAAGCATTGTTACATGGAAGAAGCCAGTCACAAAGGATTATATGTTGTAGGATTCCATTATATGAAATGTCCAGAATTGGCAAATCTATAGAGACAGAAATTAGATTGTTTCCTAAGGCTGGGGTGGAGGTAGAGGAAGGGATGGAATGAAGAGTGACTGCTAGTAGGTACAGGGTTCCTAGTTGGGGTGTTGAAAATGTTCTAAAATTGATTGTGGTGATTGTTGTACAACTCTGAAGATACTAAAAGCCATTGAATTGTACACTTTAAGTGGGTGAATCGTGTGGTATGTGAATTACCTCATTAAAGCTGTAAAAATAATTTAATCAACAGGATTGAAAGATTAAAGGATTTGACATTGGCCTAGAAAACAATAGTTTAGCACAAATCTGTGGAAGTGCTAACAAAGTAGAAATGCATGGATGTGGAGGGTAAAATAAGGAAAAAAATTAAAACACAGCTTTGACCCCTGGGACAGAAATGGATTTACAGGGATTGCTGAGAAATTAGCAGGCATTTGTCCTCAGGCTTCGTTTAACCTTTCTTTTGTTTTTTATTTATTTATTTTTCCCCCCAAAGCCCCAGTAGATTGTTCTATGTCATAGCTGCACATCCTTCTAGTTGCTGAATGTGGGACACGGCCTCAACATGGCCGGAGAAGCGGTGCATCGGTACGCGCCCGGGATCCGAACCCGGGCCACCAGCAGCGGAGCGCGCGCACTTAACCGCTAAGCCATGGGGCCGGCCCCTAACCTTTCTTTTGAAGGTCTGTTTTTTAAGTTGGATCTATGGAACTAAATTACCTTTCAGAGATGAATGAAATTGAAGCAACCTTAAATTATAATTCCTATCCCTATCACTATAAACAGGCTTTATAGAAAATGTTTTTATTTGGGGATAATTGATTTAAAACAGTGGTGTTCATGCTGGAAGAGGTAAATTGTATGAAGAGACTCGAGTAGGAAGTCTGTGAATGTGGAAGAAGGTGTAGGGCTGGCAGCTGTCTGCAGGAGAGGAAAAGGGAGGTGTACCTGAGGGAGATGGGGAATGGAAATGCTAAGGTTGGTCTGGTGACCAGGGAGGATGGCAGACATTTGGGGAAAAATTTGGTGGAAAAGTCAAAATGTGCCATTAGCCATAAGCCCAAAGCTGGGGAAACAAATAGAGTGGCTGTGAGGATTGAGATTTGTCCATAGGAAGACATAAGGGTGGTTTGATGGAGAACAACTTGGTTCCTTTTCTGGCCTGTAGTACCCCCTGGTGGTACTATTGTTAAGATTCGTGGAGTTCTTTGATGTTGCTCTGTTTCCCTATAGGGACTTACTCCCACGCCTGACATGGAAGAAATTATTTCACTTGCATGAAATAGACTGGACCAGATTTTAGGCTCACTTCATCGATTAGTTATCATCTCTTGTTTTAGGAGTCCTCTAAATGCCAGTCTCCACTAGCAGAATTATCTTACAGTGTGTATGGAAAAATCAGATCCAGGTATTCTGTCACAGCTGTAAGAATTAAGCATAAGTACTTTCCCAAGAGAAATAGTGTGTGTTATTACTTCCATATCATTCCAGTTAATTTAGTGAGATTTCAGCCCTTTTAAAATGTATTCTAGATGTATATGCTCACTGGAATAGGAATACCAACATCAGCCCTCTTACCTTGCATGTCTATCTTTGAAGAGTTCAATTTACAGGGCTTCATGTGGTACTTGATAAATCCCCAACCTAAAAGAAAACATTCCATTGAATTTGGGTGCTAACTTTTCAAGACTTCAAAAATTAAGTAATCTCCCTTACTTTAGGGGGAAAATGTAGATTTTTGTCTTATAGGAAGGACTGCTTGCCGATTTATTTGTGTGTGTGTGTTTATTGTGTTAAAAAACACATATCATAAAATTTACCATCTTAATTGCCAACTTATTTTTACTGTAAAGTTATATGACCACACACCCCCATTTTCTGGTTAATACCTGTTATCTCAGTGCAATTATTAATAGCAACTCCTTTCACTTTCAAAACTACCCCAGCTTGGATGATAAATTATATGGTCACCTTACCATAAAGATGTTAGCTTTCACTGGTATTAGGAATGAATCCTTGAAATGGGTGTGACCAGGTTCCATATTTCCTATAAATACAAAAGCTGCTAAATTCTTTGCATTGATTAAATCAAAAAGTAAAAAATTCGTGTGGTTGTAGATTCATCTGATTCCTAGTCATGCTTTCTAGATATGTGTATATAAAATTCTCTGCTATAAAACAGAATCTTTTAAGGAACTGGGGCTATTTTTCCCTATA